CCCCCCCATAAGCATCCCTGGGGACACAAGTCCCGGGGCAGGTGACAGCCACAGGTGATGGGGAGCTCCAGCTTGGGCGGGGGGGGGGGTCCGCAGGGATGGGAGGGAGCACCCAGGGAGGACCAGAGGGAAGCGGCGAGGCTGCCTCGCCACCCAAATTCTTGCTACAAGCCCGGGGGGCAGCGCGCCTGGGGACCCCCGGGGTCCCTGAGCCAGGGACACGGCTTGTGCCAAATCCCACCGGAGATGCCAGGCCCTGTTTCTCCTCACCCTCCAAAAAATTTCAGCCCTGTAGAAAACTCCTGGGCCCTTCACAGGGCATCCGCAGTGAGAAACTCTTTCCTGGAGTAGAAATGCCAAAAAAAAATCAAATTAAACCTTGTTGTATCACCTACAGGATGGGAAGTGGGTGATGGGGAGCGGAGAGCAGATTGCTGATACCGAACTGAGCCACAGCAGCTGACCACGGTCAGATCTGGGCCGTTACGTGAGCAAATACCGCATTTCTGAGCAAGCCTATGTCTCATCTCCTCTTACAGGGCTCCAACAGCCTTTCTGAGCAAGCTTATTTCTCCTCGCCTCCCACCAGAGCCCAACCGATCCTGCAAACGTACAAGCAGAGCTTGTACAAAGGGACCGCTTGTGATAGCGGCTAGGGGGTTTTTTTTTTGCCATCCCCTGGGACAATATATGCAGGGGGGAAAAAATCAAGTTTGTCTTGTGCAGAAGAAGGGCCGGGGGCAGGAGCCTGTGGGGTTTCATCCTCTCCTCCCGAATGTAGGTGTCTGAGATGGAGAGCTGTCTGTTTAGACTGCGCTCACTGGCTTGAGGAATATGTGGCGTCCACGGTATGCGGCGGTTCTGTTTTTCCAGGTTGGGAAACTGACGGGAGGGAGAAAAATGAATCACGTAAACCTTTGTTGGGGACCAGATATCAAACCCCTTCAAGCTGGACCTGAGGCTCACAAGGTGCCTGCCTGCCCTTTCCAGCCTGGCAGAGGCCAAGCTGTGAAGGTGTCGGTGCTGCAGTGAGTCCAAAATTCATCTGAAGGAGGAAAATGAACCTTAGGAGTGACAGTGAGATTTCAAGGAAGGAAGAACCACTTGGCAGAGACTGAACTCCTAACCCTGGACCTTTATCTCGGCCACACCTAGAGCAGATATGTGCTTCAGGAGCAAAAACCTCAGTCTGCAGCTCAGATATAAAAAGGACGGTAACAGCGCGGCTCACCTCCACCAGGGATGGGCGGCAGCGCAGGCGATGGAGGGAAGGATCAACCCATAAAGGCATAAAACCAGGCAAACGCCAATAAATACTGCAGGTTAATTACCGCTAGCTTAAACAGACCTACTCACAAAAAAAAAAAACCAAAAGAAACCCCCCAAAAACCCCCCCCCCCAACAAACCCCCAAAAACAACAAAAAACCCCCCTCTCTGATAAAGGCCTTCACCAACTCTGATAAGGCCTTTCCCACCTGCCTTAATTAAAAGAATAATCAGTTTTGTTGTTGTTGTAACCAGCTAACTTTGCTTTTAACTAAGCTGATTACACACAGCTGGGCTAATTAGCATGCAGTAACCTAACTTCCCTACATAAAGACAGAAATACACAGCCAAGTAATCAGATTAATTTGTGCGTGTCTATTTTTTATGTGTGTGTATATTCATAGCATGAGTGTTGATATAGCTGTGTTGGCCCACAGATTAAAGCAAAATTTCCTGGATATGGTAGCATCCTCAATTGGACAAATAAACCCAACCTTTGCAGGAAAAGACCTATTTTTCAGATGAGTTGGGCTTGTGTTCCCGCTGCCTGCTCTCCCCTCGCTGCAGATTTATCGCTGCCCAGCACTGGATGGTGATGGTGCAGGAGTTCATCTGCTTGATTTTTATTATTTTATATATATATATATATTTTTTTTTTTTTTTTTCACACGGAACTCTCCTCCATGCAGCCGTGGCCATTACCAGCGGAGGTTCCGCGGAGCTAGGGTTGAGTGCGGTGCGGATCCATGGGGATGCGCGGCTCGGGCTGCCCAAAAAATGCCCGTGTTTCCTCCCGGGGTGGAGGAAAAGAGAAAAGTTGCCGCAGACTCCATCCCTGCAGTGACTTGCCTTGTCTCCGAATAAGAGGCAAAGAGCTGTCAAACACCACCTTTCGCTTTCTCCTTGGGGGAAAAAATGAAATAATGAAATAATAATAATAATAATAATCGCCTCCGGTTTTCTTCCCTCCTTGCTTCGTTAGCCTCATTTTAAATATTTCTTATTTAAAAGAAAGGGATAACCAGCCCGGGACACAGGACCCCTCGGAAGCCGCAGCCAAACCCCAAAAAGGCCCTTTCGAGTCTGCACCGAGATGGGGAATTTTTGCATCAAACGCACGAAGGTTTGCAGCGGCCCCTCCGCGCAGTGCGGAGCGCTCCGCGGAGCCCCGCGGAGGCCACAGACTCCTCAGATATAATTACGCCTGTTAACACCGCATGCTCGTTTATTTGCTGCTCATACAATCGTGAAGCCCATGTACAAATAACATACATGTTTTATTTCGGTTCGATTTTTTTTTTTCTTTAGGGACAAAACGTACACAAAAGGGCAGGCTGAAAAAAAAAACCACAACCCACATAATTACAATTTTATACAGTGCAGAAAGAATTAAAATAGGTGTCACCGAACTGTACAAAGTCAGGGCGGAAAAAAAAATATAGAGGGGGAGGGAGGGCAATAATCCTTCATTATATATATATTTCTATAAAAACATATGGAGGATTGTCTTTACACAGAGACCATGATCGGTTTAAAATTTACAAAGGTTAACTAAAAAAAAAAATCTATATGGCAAATATTGCCAACAGAGATTCACCGATTTAATACTGATCAACTGAGACTACTTGTGTCTCGATTATTAGCAACAACAAAAAAATGTAGAATAAATAACAGAATGAGCATGGCTGTCTCTTTTCAAAGTGCCTTATTCTCTCCGCACAGGGTCTCATCCTGCAGTCTTTATGCAGGAAAAAAAAAAATTAATAGCTAAAACCAAAAAAAAATCCCTCTGAGAGATTTTTTCCCGCTGGGTGTCTGCCGGCAAAAAAAAAAAAAAAAAAAAAAAAAAATTAAAAAAAAAAGAAAAAAGGTATTTCTCGGAAGAAGTGGAAGTGAGATGGGACCGACGGGGTTGGGGCGGGGAGACCCCGGCGGCGAGCCCGCTCCTCCCCGCGGAGCAGCGCGGAGGGGCCGCGGGCGCAGGATACGCCGGTTTTGGGGGGGGGATCGGGTTTTTTCCAGCTCCCCCCATCCCGAACCGGCTCTGCGCCCCCCAACCGGGATGATAGCATCGCTCAATGCCAATTCCAAAACTGAATTAGTAATTGAATTTGATTTGGGGGTTATATATATTTTTTTTTTTTAAAGAAACATCAAAACCTTCAGTTGTCAAACCCTTAACCCAAACCCGCCGTCGGGCTTTTTGGAGAGGGGTGGGAATGGAGGGGGGGGCTGGTTTTCCTTTCTTCTCAACCCAACCCCAAGCGAAGAAGCAGAAGAAGAAGAAGGCAGAGACCGTCTGTCATTAAAAACCCGGGATGGAAACCGGGTCCGGCCGATGCTCAGCTGCGGGGCACAGGCTCAGCCCCGGGATTCCCGTCTATACCTCCGGAACAAAACCAGTTTGCAGAGATCCCCCCCATTCCTCTTTCCACCGAGAGGGTCCTGGGACGGGCTGGGGGAATTTCTCGATGCCCGGGTCAGGCTTTGCCGGCCCCAGGAGGTGGTTGGTTTTTTTTTTTTTCCGCTCCGTATCACATAACGCACGGTTTGATGTCCTGGTATGTCACTTGTTGGTGGTAATAGGAGCCGCTGCCCGCTGAATGCATGGAGGAGGAGGCCATGGCGTTGAAAGAGAAGACGAATTCCTTTCTGTCGCACATGCTCGGAGACTGGGAGTGATACCGCGGGATGCCTGCGGGACGGGGACGGGGACGGGGGGGAAGATTGTCAGCCATCGCAATTATATTTAGTAGAGGCGGTTGAGCGCGGAGGGGAGAAAAGCCGCCGTCTGGCGTAAAAAAAACCCAAACAAACAACCAAAAAAACCCCCAAACCCTCCGCAGCCCCCGAGGCTCAGCGTGGAATTGGGTATATTTTTGCATGCACGCAAATACAGGGGCACTCCGCGGGCGCGGACAGGTGCGGTGGAGGAAACCCCCGCGGCCCAAGGACCCTTCGAGGAGAGGGGATTTGGTTTGGGTTTAGTTTTAGTTTTGTTTTGTTTTGTTCTGTTTTTTTCCCCCGTTTTGCCCTCTTGAAGGTGCCGGGCTGCTTTTCCCATCGCCTCCGCCCGCGCGGAATATCCGCGGGGTGCGGAGCGGGGAAAAAACACATTCGCCCACCGGAGCCGGCGGCAGAAACCGAGCGGAGAGGCCGAAAAGCTTCCGAAACCGGGGCTGCTCCTGCCCTTTTTGCCACCACCTCGGGACATAAAACCCCCTCCCGTAAATTCGGGGTGCGCTGGGGAGAAGCGCCCGCCCGGCGAACCCCGCTCCCCGCCGCTCCCAGGCCCTTAATTTGGGTGGCAATCCGGAGCATTTCGGTTAAGGCCGCGGGACGGGCCCGGTGGTTCCTCGGGATGGATTTTTTTGCTCCGTTTTCCAGAGAATTTGGCTGTTTTCACCCGGAACCGGAGCCGGGACCGACCTGGTCCGGCTCGGTGCTGTGCCCGGGCTCGGCCGCTCCATACCGGTCCAGCTGATCCTTTTTTTATTATTATTATTATTGTTTTTCCCTCAGGTTTCGCTTCGTGCTTTTGACCCGCTAACCCTCCCTTTCACCCCCAGGTTCTGCCGAAGGCCCGGGGTGATGGGCAGGCCCCCCCAAAACCTGCCGCTTCCCCCGGCCGCGGCTCCCAGGGCTCCCCCGAGCCCCCCCGACCCCCCCCCGAGATGAATTTGGGCCGCAGGACGAAGCCCAACACCGGTCCCGGCCCTCCCGAGGCCTCCACCCGGCTAAAACACCATCTCTCCCCCCTCCCCACGAAGGACCCAGGGCTAATCTACCCCCGGGAGCTCCATCCCGGGGTCGGGGGGGGGGGGGGGGGGGGGGGGGGGCGC